GGAAAGGGCGCCCCGCCCCCTGTCTGAGCCCCCGCCGGTGTTTTAAAGGAGTTGCTCCGGGACTGGTGACACCCCTGAGTTTCCAGTCTGGCCCAGTGCGCGAGCAGGAGTTGTTAGTTGTGCGGCCTGAGGTAGGAGCAAACAGGGGAGGAACAACAAGTAACGAGGTGGTGCTCACAAGATCCGTGCTCACAAGATCTGTTCTCACAAGATCTGTTCTCACAAGATCCGTGCTCACAAGATCCGTGCTCACAAGATCTGTTCTCATTTGGGCGGTTGGAGGGGCCCGCCTCGCTGGGCATCCTCTGCCTGAGGTGGGCTTGGGCCGGAGGAGCCGGTTGCTGTATGCAAAACCCCCAAACTCCGTTTTGCTTCAGAAGAGAGGCCAGCCGCCAGCCACCCCAGGGACGACAGGCTTCATGGAAAACGCTTCCATAAAAACACCCGTTTCTAAACCTTTTAAACCCGGCCGTGGTTTTGCAGGCAAGACTGCAGCCAACGCGCATCATGGCGCGGGGGCAGGTGTCGTTAACCGCCCGCGAGCCGCTCCTGGGTCTCGCTTTAGGAAAAACGCCAATGTTTAATCCTGCCCTTTTTCTCAGGATGGGTAGAGCATTGCGGGTGCGGCTCTGTCACGGCGCTGTCTGCAGTCACGGCACCTCTGCGAACAAACAGCTGCGTCCCTCGGGTGCTTCCAGGTGAAGAGATGAGCGATGCCACTCGAAGGCTGTAATAGAAAATGAGGTGTAATGCTAAAGCCAGAAGGAAAAGGGTAAGAGAAAAACTAGCTACTCCGTAGCGTTTGGCATTACACATTTGAGTGTAATGCGAGATGTATTAACCCCAGATTACCTAAAACGTCAAAGCAAAATACTCCATGAAAGCCTCTAAAAGCACTAATATTTATTTGCTGACACTCTTTTGCCTCTGAACTGTTACCCGATGTCTGTGTGACTATAATTTATACATCCAGGAAAGAATTTCACTGAATAAGAAAAGGAAGGTAAATAAAATCCTTTCAGAGGAGCAAAAATCTGTTCTAAGAAAAAAAATTACCACCTTGTAGTAAGGAGAGCACTTGCTTAGATTTTGGTGTTTGAAGCATTTCTTGCTCTGACCAGCACCAGGGAAAAAAGGCTTGGTGTCTGGGCGGTGTTCTCCCTCGCCCAGGCTTTGCAGCCAGCCAGCGATGCCACCGACACCTGCGGTTTGCAGGATTCCTCTGGTCTGGAGGATGCTGGTGCACGTCAGAGGCGGCGCGGGTGCCACTTCTGCAGCTCGTGCTGTAGCACAGAGTGGAGAGAGGAGGTGAATTTTTCTTTACTGCATGGAAACAGCAGCTGATCAAATTGTGAATTGCTTTAGGAGAAAACTAATAATGTCACAAGTTTAGTGAAAACAGCAGAGGGAAGTTGGTTTCATTACAATTCAGTAAGGTGTCAAAGGATGACCTTCTATGAAAATGCTTTATGATACCCCTCAGGTGTGTGTTGTCTGATCTTTACTGTATTGACTAACACTTTGTAGAGGATACAGCTTTAAAAGTAGCTATCAAATGTGCATGCTTTCATGGTTTCTGTAATTGGAAGACTAAAATAAACTCCTGTAAAGTACTCAAAGGTACAATATTCAACAGGGATAGAGCAGCCTATCCCTTAATATCTGTTGTGAAAATTTAGATCCAGATTAGGGTTAGAAGCAGAGCAGCAAGATTTGAGAATGAAGGCTGTGGTTTAACACGAATGAAGTGTAATTCTCATGTGGTGTTCTCACAAGATTTTGGTCCTGAATATTACAAGTCTTGGGAGGCTAGGGGGTCCAGGAAAAGGACATACTTGTATTTATACTGGAAAATATCCTTTCCTATTTGGGATCCAACCTAGAACTTAAATCCTAGGAATGAATTTGGTTGCAAAATCCCTTAACATTTGTTGTGATCTCATGGGTTTCCTAGGTGCCCGTATAATTTATCAGTAGCCATTTGGATCGTAACACCCCATACATTTTCCATGACATCTAAAAAGCTAAATTTCCCAATAGTTTAAATTATTTTCTGTTCCAAGCACAGGTAAAAGATTTTTTTTTTCCTGTTGCCTGTTATGAGCTTCTATACAGAGCTATGTTAACCAGGAATTTGTAAGTAAAATTTGTGGTGGATACAAGTTCTTTTGTGACTTGGAAGTGTTGTGTGGAGTTTAAGTATTAAGACATAGCCATGAGATGTTCAGCAAACTAGAAGATGAATTAAAAAAAAATTCAGTATAAAAATAATTCAGTGTCACCATCAGTGTTGGGTGCTGATAAGATGAACAGCAGTTTCCTGTGTTCATGACTGTAGGGACTTGGCAAAGAGACTACAATTCTCTGGTATTCTACAAGCCTACCCAAAAGCCAGATGGAAAGGCAGGGAGGAGGTCTGCAAACTCCTAGATGACAAAGCTGTCTTGTCACAACTGTCATCATAATGTTTTCTAAAAGTGAAAGACTGGGCATGGCTAAATAGCATAAAAAAGCTATACAGTCTCAAGCTGGGATCTCCTAAGTACGTGCTCACTTGTAGCATTTCAGCCACAGTAGTTACTAGCTGCACCCTTAGAAGTCAGTGTGATGCTTAGAGCTGAATTCATGGAAGGTCCAGGTAACATCTGAAAATACTCATTTTAATCATAGAACCTGGGTGTAACACAAAATTGCATGATCAATCTTGGGTAAAGGCATAGCTGTATAAGTTGCAGCACTGGCAGGCCTTCTTATTAACACAACGAGGAAGAGGTTCCCTCTCACAGACTACAGGGATTTCTCCTAGTGATCTGTTCCCTCTTCGGTAGTGGTTTTGGCTAGTTCTGATCAGTTTTGCCTATCCAGTTTGAGGAATTTTTTCCAGTTCTGACAGGGTTTATTGTGGTTTCTGTAGAAGGGAATAGAGGTTTACCAGATATTTGGTTGCTGAGTGTAGATGGAAGACACAGACAGCTATTGCTTAGGTAGGTGAAGGAATCTTCCCGAGAAGCCTTGGAAAAGAGCATACCCTGAACAGGGAATTCCTATGTGTACAAGATGGGAGAATACCGTACTTACCTTAGTACCTCTGGTGAATATCAGTCTTTTTGCCTGGGAAAAATCAACTGCATAAGTTTTGATAAATTTATTTTGGTTTAGAACTTTGTGCAAGTGGGAGGAATATTCTGACAAATGAGTTTTGTGAGAAGTGAACAAAGTATGCCTTGAGTAACACAGTTCCTTGTCCCCATGCTTCTGTGGCGGTTGAGTCACAAGGGCCCAGAAAACTATCTTACCTCCTCAAGAACAGCAAACCTGATCTGTCACTTAGAGAATCCGTAAGTAGGTCACCTATATTGTAACTCCATTACACCTGCTGTAAGTGCTTGGTAATGAGCAGTTACATTTTTGGGACAAGTTCTCTGAAGGTGGCTGGTTAGTGATGCCCTTCTCTGTATAATCACCCTGACTGGCTAGTGTTGCGAAGCTTGTGAGCTAATGGGATGTAGCACTCACAGTGCTGCTCCTACA